ACATTATTTATTTCTTGATCAGTAATTTACGCTTGGGGACTACTCATTTCAAGGGATTATTAACTTCAGAACTCAGAAGTTAATAATAAATAGGTTCTTATCTGTTTCAACTTCTTGGTCCTAGAATCTGGAGATATATTTTATCAAGTGCAGGACAAAGCAAAGAAAAAAAAAAAGAACAATTCTTGCCTGACTTATATCCCCATTAAAACACTTCATAAACCCAACAAATTAAAATAAAAAAATATTTACTCTTTTTTGTGGTATCATTGAAAAATTTAATGAGGAGAAGCTCTACAGAGGTTTCGTGGTCCAGCAGGACTGGCTTTCAAGTTAGAGTGGGTTACCTGGGGCCTTGTCCTGCCAGGTTTTACAATTTCAAAGGATGGAAATGTATCCAGTGCTTAAACCACTCATGATTTGTAACCCTCACAACCACACAGCACATGCAAACCCGATAACCTCACATCCCCTGACCATTCCTTTCTAACAAAGGAGTGGGAAGAAATCGCAAGTTATTTTGCTCAACCACCACATCAGGAACAGATCGTAAAACTGTTGTTGCACAGACCTGCTCCTGAGCAGAAGTGGCAGCATTCCCTAATCAGAGGGGCAAACAGACTTGCTGGGCTGACCTGGCTCTCCCCGAGGCCCTTGTAAGGACAGCAGAACAAATCCTGCACTTGCAGCTGGGAACTGCAGCTGTGCTCTGCTCATCCACTGCATGCACATGTATGAATGACTAATAGATTAATCTCATTTTCTGTTCCTCAGTCTCCTAAGAAATTTCCCTGAGAGAACAGCGATTATTTGATGATCTCACCCACAATTATACACTAAGTGGTACTCAAGTGATCCCTATCAATCACCTGGACATGTAACCCTTGACAAGGGTGAGAGATCACCTAGTCATTTTGGCTCCTCAAATTAGCCAGATGCATCCAATAGCAATCCTGAAGTCATGTAGCCCATCAGAAGATGTAGCTTTTCTTCTCTGGAAAGGAAGAGCAAAAAGCAAGGAAAGTTTCATACAAATATTTTCTCAACAGAACATCCCCAAGGGGATTACTGCCAAAGTTTTCACTAATAAAAAGTGGCAATTTTAGCACAGAGGTTACAGCCTTCCACTTTCACAGTTTAACCACAATTTAACCACCGCTTTCATCCTCTCACACAAATTCCTTTTATAGGAACTCCTAAATCCTGTTTGGTTTAAGTTTAAAAATGAGTCACTGAAGCATTTATTTGGGAGCCATGCTTTAGTGAGACTGTAAATCAAGCTACTGTCCAACTCCCCTAAGTTATTGAAGCAGGAAACAGCTTGCTGCAGAGCTAAGAATTCACAGTAGGAAAACACATCACATTTTGGTGCATAAGGGGAAAATAGCTGAGGTCGGACAAGATGTCCTTTGCACCCACCTTAGCAGGAGAGGCAGTGACACAAAAGCCATTATAGTAGCAACACCGTAGAAAATTTTCCTGATCACAAACACAGACGTGTATATCAACAGTATCTGCTGCATATGGGCTCTTCCCTCCATTCATAATTTCTTTTTATGCTCAGGCAACAATCCCCCAATAGAAAAGGCTTATGAAAAAAGCCAATGACTAGAGAATCCTTAATTGATTTGAAACTGAAAGGCTGCTGTGCCATAGGCAACTCTAGGCCAAAACTTTTGCAGTAGCATAACACTGAGAAGGGTTGTGACCAGAGCTTTAGGTAACAATTTGGCACGTTTTGGGAAGAGAGATGTCCAAAAAGAAGCATCCCTATCATCCTTTCACTGACACACAACTGCAGCCTGTGACCATGACTTTAGGCAATTATAACAGAAATACATGGCTGATCTGGTAAGAATCCTTGTTTAAAAACATTTTGTCCAATAGAATCTCTTGCACATAGAAGTTGTCCATAGGTTTCCTTAGCTGATCTCCTACTGCCACGAACAAATGAAGGACTTTTGTCATCCAAAATGCATTCCAGGACTAAAACCTACGCGGTGTGCTGAAAAAAGATGGCAAAAAGATCAACCCAAATTTAATACAAGTTAATATCCTGGTTGAGAAGAAAGCCTAAGGATGATTCTGGGAAAGGTCAGCTGTAAGAGCCTTCTGGCTGTGAACCTGAGGTTTAGTCATCCTGACACCATTTTTTGTTACAGGCAATGAAACAACTACCTATAGTGGGTGGTTGTTTAATACTGGTCCGAATACTGGGGTTTATGTACAAATCAGCTTTTATCCAAACTGATTTATTTCACTCACTCATCCACTCACTCCCCTAAAGCACTACATTTGCTGGGGTCTCAGCATCCTTCCAGGCAGAGAGGTTTGCTGCTGGTGTGTGAAGGTCAGGCAGAAATCTGTGTCCCTCCATACCATACAGGTATCCAGAGCTACTAGTCCAAGGCACTATCAGTCAAGGTTCTGGGGCATCCCCTGGTATTTTTCTTCACACATCATAGAATCATAGAATCAGACGGGTTGGAAAGGACCTCTGAGATCACCAGATCCACTACCACCACAGTTGTTAGACCATGGCACTAAGTGCCACGTCCAGCCTCATCTTAAAAACCTCCAGGGATGGAGAATCCACCACTTCCCTGGGTAGCCCATTCCAATGCCTGATTACCCTCTCTGTAAAGAATTTCTTTCTAATATCCAACCTAA